CCTCCTCATCTTCGTTCCAACTAAGCTGGACAACTTCACCCGCTTTGTGATTCATGGACATGATTTGACGTGAGTTCTCAATTTCAATCTTTCCTCATTGTCATTGAAGATCTGCCTTACTGCAGCTCTATATTACTCTGGGGACAACACCGACTTACCTATTTCCATGTGCATCTGGTTACGTAAGTGGGTTCCTTTCTGATTTCGGATTTGAACCTTTGGATCAAGAAAGTATTGAAATGACATTGTTCACTAGTACTCACTCTTGAGGAAAGTATAGATGACGTTCATTCATTTCAGTCAGTAGATCCTTCACTCTACTTCTCACTATCAATCGAACGTTTGCAATCAACACATGGATGAAGAAACATAAAAACCCGATTCTGATCATAATTTTCGCTCAGCTGATTGGCCAAGTCATCTTTTCGTTGGTCTCAGGCTTGAACACGAAAGACGGCGGAGAAGATGCTCGTCAGGCTTGTCTCGAGGTTTGGACCTCTTTCATTCTTTGAAACAGTCTTCTCAGATAATCACCTATGAATATCCCAAAGTCATGTATACTTCTCGAGGATATGATATAGCGGAACAAGATGAGAACGATCAGTTGTGCTCTATAGTTATGGGTCTGACTAATGCTTTCTACATGATCACTATGATTGTCTGTGTTTCTATCCTCATTCGGAGCATCAGAGAGCAAGCGAAGTCATCACAGTCGACTTAGTTCTTAGCGAACCAACGTAGAATTACTTCTGGGATTCTTTACTTCGTAAGATTATTTTCTTCCACTGAGACCTATGTTCTTCAGATGGTTATCGAGATAGTTGGATTGGGCATTCCATTTATAATTATCTGTTCATGTGTCATTCTCAGCATGGGAAATACAGGTGAAGCTTCTCTTAGACATCGACTTACAAATTCGTTCATCTCAGTCGTCTCTCAATTAGCCTTCATGACTATGTCCATCTATCCCATATTTGGTCCATACTTTGTTCTCATGTCCAACACAGATTACAGGAACAGAGGGAAAGGGATACTTAGAAAAGGTTGGTTTTAGATGCTTACTCTGTGTAAGCTCACTTCTAGTTCAAGCTAATACAAAACATCTTTCAGCGCAAGAGCTGGGATCACGTACACCGACTATTTGAGCATTCTACTCCTGAATCGATCATTCATATTACCAATTGGAGTTCGATGAGCCCAGCAATCTCCACTGAAAAGATTACTACCTATGGATCCTAAATATTGCCAAAACGTGTGTTGTCATCACAGAAACTCAAAGAGCCATTTGTCCCATATCAAAGATTTTTATTTTCTGTCTCACTCATCTTGTTATTCAGTAGAATTATCGTTAACCAGCAATTAGAGAGATTTCTGAATGCTTAGTTTATCATTCCCATTTCCATTCCTGTTTCGACCTTCTGCAATGTTTGATTGTAATGATATGAGTTGTCAGTTGGTCATAAATAAGAAACAAAAAGAGTTTCAATCTAAGAGGAAATCTAATTGAGTAGCAACTCGTTCATGTATTTTCATACAAAACTCGTATTTTGTTTTTGATATTGAGGATGCAAGCTTACTGGGCGGTTGTAGAGGAGTGCAACCTTTCTTGACGGTGACGGTTGGAATGCAACCGTTCTGAACGGTTTTTGGAGAAATGCAACCTATCGGTGTGTTTCAGATAAGACCCGCGTACGCGAAGTTCAAGTTGGATAATCCGATTGTCCAGTTGCTTCTATATAATCATCGTTTGTTTGTTATACATTACTTTTTCATGTTAGCAGGAACAACACAAGAAGAAGTGCCGACCTACTTGGAGAATCTCGAGAATAAGAGAAGGGGAACTCACCGAGTCAGACCGCAAGCTGATTCATTCCAAATAGTGTACGGCTTATATAATGCTGTGTTTAACCGAGTTGATAAGAAATGAACAGTTCATTGAAGGTTGGACAACATGGAACAATGAAATGGGGGAGGATTCTCTCTGATGAGCTCGGAGATCACATAAGGCCAAGAACTGGGATGAGTGAACACAGTTCTAGAACTGCTTCTACTCGAGGTTGAGCTGGGTTTGGTTTCTTCCAGAAAGGGGCAGAACTGTTGATTCCTCAGGGCATAACCATATTTTCAAAGTGAGAAGAACTGATATTCTTGTGTTATCTGCCCTGTAGAAGAGCTTCTCTCACAAGGACCCAGGAAATCTTGATCGTAAAAGTTTCCAGAGAAGAGAACTCCGATTTACTGGATCACCATAGAGATATTAACTGACTGATAGGGAAGATTGTAATAAGAATCATGTTCTCACCTTAGTATTATTCTGCTGCCAGTAAGATCAGAATGGTAACGTTCTCTTCTGCAGATTTATCGAAATCATACGAGCGCGAATTGAAGTGAAAAGATCTATTTTACACATCAGGTAGGTCTGTGTTCCGCAACCGATTGACATCCATTCTATTGACTAGAGGAACAAACGTTCCAGGAGCAGATATGCTCAAACGCTCAACATACGACTTCCTACTTGCTGCCCTGAAAGATGTTTCTTATCAGTTTGATCTAGAAGTACGCTCAAACAGGATGTTCCAAGAACCAACCTTTCTTCAGTATCCCTCTTACTCTCTACTTACGAGACACAGATCGATAAAGGAATTTGCATATTTCTAAAATTAACCCACATATTCAGATTCTGCTTTTAATTTTCATCGAGAATTTTAAAAAGGCTCTGGTTTTCTCGAGTTCGAGTGAAGTCATTAAAGTGAACAAGGGCTACCGGGCTAGACCCCGTCACTTCTGCTGAGTGAATCTCTGATTCTGATAACTTCATCTCATCTGTGTATATCTCACTCCGTACAAACAGTTGAAAGAAACTGGTTTTTCTTTCATTTTTCATATTGAATTGTAAGTTGTTGGCTACGTTCAAAACGAAACGACCGTTCCTGTCATGACAACAGACGTTATAAGTAATTTGAAATTGCATGGATCTGTAGCGATCAGTTCTGTATGAGATTGCTGGGCTCAATGAAAACGAATTGGCAATATGAATGACCGTCTCCGGAGTAGATATGCTCAAATGGTCAATGTACGAGATCCCAGTTCCTGAGCTGAAAGATGTGTCATGTCAACTTTATCTAGTCATCACAAGGAGTACATTCAAACAGAGTGAAGTTCAAGAACCAACCTTTTCTAAGTATCCCTTTCACTTTGTTCCTGTAATCCGTGTTGGACATGAGGATATAGTAAGGACCAAATATAGGATAGATGCAGATAGCGATGTAGCAACAATCAGAAATAACTGAGGTATAAATTCGAATTTTTAAGTCAGTGTTCAAAAAAAATCGTACCAATATTTCCTACATTGGATGCAAAACATGCACCAAAGATCATACATGGACAAAATAAGCCAAGGAACTCCACAATCATCTGAAAACTATTGGTCTCGGTAGGAAAGAAGATACTTACGAAGTAGACGATTCCGGAAGTTATTCGACGTTGGTTCGCTAAGAACTGAGTCGACTGTGATGACTTTGCTTGTTCTCTGATGCTCTGGATGAGGATAGAAACACAGACAACTGCAACAATCATGTAAAGCACAGAAGTTAGCAATGTCATTAAAGCAGTCAACTGGCCGCTCTCATGTTGGAGCGGCATATCATATCCTCGGAAGGTATACATCACTTTTGGATATTCATATGTGATTATCTGAATGGACTGTTTCAAGGAAAGAAAGAGATCCATACCTTGAGGCAAGCCTGCCGTGCTTCTTTTCCACCTTCTTTCGTGTTGAAGCCATTGACCGACAACACTAAGACTTGGGCAATCAGCTGTACGAAGAATATGATTATAATAAGGTTTTTATGTTTCTTCATCCAGGTATTTACTGCGAACACCCGATTGATAGAGAGAAGGAGAGTAAACGATCTACTGACTGAAATGAATGAACGTCATCTGTACTCTTCTCAGTTGGTTACTAGTTATCAATATTACTTGAATACATATTTGATCCGAAGGTCTAAATCCGAGTTCAGACATGAAGCCGTTCAGGTATCCAGATGTACATGGGAATAGAGAAGTCGGTGTTGTCCCCAATGTAAGATAGAGCTGCAGTAAGGCAGATCTTCAATGACAATGAGGAAAGATTGAAGTTGAAAACTCACGTCAAGTCATGTCCATGAATCACAAAGCGGGTAAAGTTGTTCAGCTTGGTTGGGACAAAGATGAGAAGGGAGAACGAGAAGAAGATGATGAAAAACCCAAAAAGGGATAAACAGTACATGATTATCACATAGAGAGACATCTGAGGTATGTATAACCAGTCTACTTGTTCAGTGAGGCTAATGATAGAAGGAGCTGTCGAGAATGATTTGGTTGTTCATGTATGAACGAAATAATAATTTGTATCTGTTTGGAACATTCATTTGTTGGAGCGTACTGCTACATCTCACCCGTAAAATCGTGTGAAAACAACAAACGAAGTAACAATGGGTTGCTTTGAGGTTGGGTACGGTTTGGTTCCCTCCAGAAAAGAGGAGAACTGTTGATCTCTCGGGGCAAACATATTTTTGCTTTATCCGTCTCGGAAATGAGCTTTTCTCGCAAGGACCCAGAAAATCTTGATCGTAAAAGTTTCCAGAGAAGAGAACTCTGATTTACTGGATCACCATAGAGATATTAACTGACCGATAGGGAAGATTGTAATAAGAATAATGTTTTAACTTTAGCCAGTAAGATCAGAATTGTAAGCTGCTCACACAACGGAGAGAAAGCAGTGAAGCTAAACTCCAGCCAACACAAGTGAGTACAAAGTTAACATCCATAGCTGACGCAAGTTTGCGTACAAAAAATATTTTTATTCTTTGTCTTTGGTCAGGTATATGTTATATCCTATTTTCTGTTGCTTATTTATTATTATTCTTGTAGACGTCAGTTTCAGACATATCGATCGATGGCTTCTGTAGGTTTCACACTACGTTCGAACTTGTTTTCTCGAAATTCATGTATCGTTATTGTAGGTACTATCACTTCAACATGTTTCTCAATCAACGTGTAAAACTTAATATGCTGTCTCACAGTTTGTTTTCTACTTTGAAGAGTTCAGGAGAGGAGTGTTTCTCCAGATGCTAGTAGATGCCAGCTTCTGAGTTTGCCACATTGGATAAGTCGGGAAGCAATGCGCTACCTGTGCACCCACATGTGCTGAGCTGAATCCTGTAAGCAAACTTTTTGAATTAAGTGAAGTTTAGCTTCTATTCAGATTTGCCTCAAATAATGTCGCCCGGCTGCCTCTTTCTCTCTATCGGGGTTGACACCCCTTGTTGTATTTGTTTGTAATTAAAATGAAATTAATTGGGCCATGTTATCATTCATTCAGAGGATTGTAGATGTAAGTGCTGAGCAGAACGCAGAAAACTTCGTCCAAATACTATTTGTTTCGGCTGAGTTATGGGATTTCATAACAGGCGTGAGCACGACTGCTAACTTCATTCGTGTGCAAGAAATGGAAGCTTGAGTCATTTCATTCAAGAATCAGATCACCAGTGAGCGGTCATGTTTCACTGTTCACTGAAGAAAGAAGTGAAGAGTGATTGTTATCCTTTCTCTGCTTCGATGGTTATAGTCAACGGCTGTGCATAGTTACAATGCGCATGAGAGTAATTTATTACCTTTTCAATTAACAGATTTTCATACTTTTTTTCTGAATTGAAGATAGTTTTGCTCAGGTTATTCATTCTCCAATATAACCTGATCGAATGGCCTGCTCAGCTGAGGTTATAGAAGATCCACTCATATAGAGTTCAGATGCGAAGAATGAGTTCACGTTATCAAACCGATGAATAAAATGCGTGTTGTCAGCTTTCTGCTACAAGTGATGGATGTTTTTGTCTGTATACTGCCGTTCCATTGAAAACGTTCTGATCGGAGTTACTCAATTGGTATTGATTTTCCAGAATAAGATGTTCTTTATATATTTGAATTCCGTTTTTCTTTGTTATCCATCAGTCAGAGGATTTTAGATGTAAGTGCTGAGCAGAACGCAGAAAATGTAGTGATGTAGCAGTAATCTTTAACACTCGAATTTTGCAAACAAATACAAATCATTATTTTCGTTTATACATAAACGGAGGTACCTTTCTCGACAGCTTCCCCTCGCTTC